CCTGGGAGAGGGGACCAGGGACACACACCACACCGCAAAACCTAGAGAGGAAAGATTCTGGCACCTCAATACTGGAAGGAAGGAGAAGAGGGAGCGGGAAAAGCATGTAGCTTCAGGATGCAATGGAGAGAAAGGAGCAAGACAATTCCATTACAGAACTGAAGACCCGAGCTTGGAAAAGTACAAAGGAAAACACCACATCGAAAGATTATCGGCTAATCAGACTATGCAAGCTTGAATCAATAATGGTGGCTGACAGGGCCTCTGGGAGAAGTCGGGAAATTACAGACTTGAAATGGTGTTGAACGCGGACCACGGGATCCAGGTCCCTTCCCCAGCAGAAGTATTCTGCAGGCAGGAGCGAATCACCTGTCGTGCTGGCTAAGCTGATTCACATCTTTTTGTTTCCTCATGAAAATGAGTCAGTTGTAGAATCTGAGTGCTGGAAGGTGTTATGTAAAATAGTCGCTTGGTCTTTCCATCTTTCCACTGTGGATTGTATTTCTCTTTTTATCTGGGGAAGACTAACAAAGCATATTTTAGGACGAGAAGAAGAAAAGATGCTCAAGGACCTGAACTTACAGGGGTCTTCTGGCATGGATGGGTGGGTTCAGGCTCCAGGACTCCTCTGACGGCTGGGGGGTGGGCTGGGCTGCAACACCACCTCCCCACTGGTCTCGGTCCCTCCCTGCACCCCCTCCCCGCCCCGAAACTACCTGGCCCACCCAAAGGAGGCAGGGATGCGTGTCGGAGGACAAGCTTATATCAGGAGTAAGCGAGTAGGAAAGAATGACGTCACACATGAAGAAGCCCAATGCATACGTCTGCCTATGTGTCTAGGTTGTAGAGATGTCCACGAGTATGCTTCTTTTTTCACTAATGGCAGCACAGGGGGCAAAGCTGGGAGAAAGGCTCTCTGCAGATTCCAAAATGCTGGTGCGCGATGGGCTCTAGGAACAGAAAGCCAAGTGCCGACGGAAACTGAGAGCTCCCCAACTCTGCCAACAAGAGTCCTGTAGAAAAGGCAGTAAGAATGGAAGCGAGGGGTGCCACCTGCACACCACCAGGCACTGCACCCCATTCGATGGCTTTCCCCTCACGCCTTGGGGGGAGGGGACGGGCTCCACTGGGTGGAGGAAGGAAGCCAGGGTGGGATGGAAGGCCCCCTCTTCGGGAGCAAGCCAGAAGTCAGCCTCTGGGGACTGAGGGTTCCCTCAGCCGGGAGTCTTCAGCTGACCCCGGGGGGGTTGAGACAACGGGGCATGGAAATGACTGCACGTCCACGCCTCCCTCTTGCTCTCTTACACCACCAGCCTGGATGGCCACTGGAAAAGTCCGAGATGAGAATGAAGTCTCTCTTCCGAGTTCCTGGGGGTGACTGACGCAGTCCTTGGGAACTCCTGGCTATTTTATTGCATTAGGAAACAAAACCATTAAAGCATTTAAGACAGCCCTTTTGTGTCCCTGCCAAGGAGATGAAGTGGATTGGCAACACCCGTTGCACCGCAGCCTTGGGTTCTTCACTCCACTGTGCCCTGTCTGCATTGTCCGTGTCGGCTTTCGGAGGAACAGCGTCGGCCCGCAGGGCATGCACATGCACGGTGAGCCGGGGACGCGGCGGCGGGGGGAGGGGCTACTCCATGCCGCTCCGGAGGATCTGGTTGGCCGCGATCAGCATGACGCTTATGATGAAGGCCATGGCGAAGGCGCATATGAGGCTCTTGCGGACGCAGGTCTGTCTGTTCTGCTTCTGGGAATGCACTGGGGTTGCAGGGGGAGCAGAGGGTAAGGAGACGGGGAGGGAGGGGAGGGGGAGAGAAGAGAGAAGCGACACAGTGAGACAGGCTGACCTCCTCCTCTGCAAGCCCAGTCCATAGGCTGAAGACCGGTCCCATCAACAAGCGTCTCGGGGACCGTTCTCGGAGCCTGAACATCACCTCCTCTGGCAGATGGTAGGAAACAGTAAAACTTCTATAACAAACACCATGAGAGATGTGACGTTCAGAGGGAGGTATAAACTTCCAGATCCAATAGAGTTACAGGGACTTTCTGAGTGAGAAAATACATCAACATTTGAGGGTTTCACAAAAGGCATCATCCAGGCATGACGGTGTCCCCCTCTGCAGAGCACCGGGCTCCCGTTTCTGAGTCCCCTGCTGCAGGCAGAGCCAGGTTCAGATGCTTCCCTACCTGTTGGCACCGGGCTGGAAGCAACTTGCCGCCCACCCTCCCCGGCCCCCAGAATTGTTCTTGGTGGCCGCTGGTCAAAATGACTCTAAATGACTTCTGGTATGATTTCAGGTATGCACACCAGTGGTTCTAGAGTGGGGTTCCTAGGCAAGCAGCATCCACGTCCCTGGGAGCTTGTTAAAAATGCAGGTGCTCAGGCCAGACCCCATGCCCAATCTACTGAATCAGAAACTCCAGGGATGGGGCCAGCGATCTATGTTTAACTAGGTGATTCTGGTGAAATCTGAGAAGTGGAGACCACATGCTCTGTGGACGGGACCAGTGTGAAGGAGGGAGGGAGGCACAAAATCCTCACAGACGTTCCAGAGCCACAGTGTCCCTGCCCCCATGTCCTGTTGCACCGCGGAGGTCTGACCTTGGGCCCTACGGTTGTGTCCTCTTAATCTTTTTTCTTGGGCTTGGTCTTGTGCCACCATTTTCATAAGGCCCTTGAGAAACCATTAGTAGGTCTGAATCAGTGGGAAAGTAATTGGGACCAGACACAGGGAAATGGAAATCACCAGAAAGAAAAGCTTTGATAAAGTGTGTTGAGGAAGAACAGGTCTCTTTTCCAGGAATTGCTTTCCCCTGCCAGAACTTCTTTTCCTTCTTTTTGTTCTGTTAGTCCATACCCCCTCCCTTTCCCATCTGTCTGTCCATCCATGATCTTTGCATACAATTTACCACTTAGCATATGGCCGAAATCTGTGCCCTAGAGGCAGGTGGAAAGCTATGTACATCAGAGCTACTCACTGGACCAGCAGCATCAGCACCATCTGGGAGTCTGATGTACATGTAAATTCTTGGGTCCCACTGTAGAATTACTGAATCAAAATCTCTGGGGGCGGAGGCCAGGAATTCATGAATTAATAAATTCTCCAGGTGATTAGGGAATTGCTGGGCCCCAGCCCCAGAATTTTCGATTCAGTAGGACTAGGTGGCGCCAAAGAATCTGATGGAGTTTGAGTTGCCGGCGGGGGCTGACAAGTGTGAGTGTGTGTGTGTGTGTGTGTGTGTGTGTGTGCGTGTGTGTTAGGGACACAGGGTGGGGAGTTTTGGGAAAGATGGTTCTTTAGATTCAGATGTTAAGAAACCCAATGCCAGGGCAGAAGAACATTTTTAGATCACCTTCCATTTTGAAAAGGAGTCCTTCTACCTTTACAAACCTCCGGTGGAGGGAAAGTGGTTTTTCTTTAGGTCAGATTATGGCCCAGAGAGGGTTGGGGGCGGGGGGAGAAATGCAAATTCCTTCACATTACTCGCAGTCTCTGTAGGAAAGAAGACTGGCAAAAGAGCAAGGTCAAGGTAGGGTCCACATGCCTTTACTTATTTATTTTTTTAAGATTTTGTTTATTTGACAGAGAGAGACACAGCAAGAGAGGGAACACAAGCAGGGGGAGTGGGAGAGGGAGAAGCCGGCTTCCCGAGGAGCAGGGAGCCCGATGCGGGGCTCGATCCCAGGACCCTGGGATCATGACCTGAGCTGAAGGCAGATGCTTAACGACTAAGCCACCCAGGCGCCCTGGGTCCACAGGCCTTTAAAGAACCTAAAAATGGTTCAATTTCAAGTACGTCTTCCCTTTGACATTCGGTGGCCTCTCTGAGATCCCTGGAAATAACAGGGAAGTAGTAGGAAGCCCGCTGATGTTTCCAAGGACAAACAGAGCTTTCCCTGAGGGAAGGGGTCTCGGGGGGCTTGTCAGGGGGTTTCTAAAAATTGTATCAACCAGGAAGGTTTCTCCAGCAAGCCACATTTCACAGAGACCCAGGGCCCCCTGGTGCAGCCTTGGGCTCCCTCTCCAATACTTGGTTATTTCTGCCACCATCTCTTAGATGCTGTCCTATTATCTTTAATCCTGGATCCCCTGGGCTTCTGCTTCCCTTGGGTGATTGGGAGTATTTTCGGTTCAGTTCTCAACTTGCTGATCATGTCTGGGTCTTAGAATCTTACAAATTCTTACCTGGAGAAAGAAAATTTCCTTGGTGCAGAGATATGCCTCCCCCCGCCCCCCGCCCCCCAGGAGTGGGTTAAATGTAAAAAGGTGCCAGCCCTCAGGAACGAAAAGAGGATGTGGTGTTTAAGAACGAAAAGGACCAAAGCAGAAAATAAAATGAGGATATGGAAGTAGCGCATCTAACACTTTCTGAGGACTGGCTAATTTATTCTGGGCAGCTCCTCAGCATAAAAATGCTTCTGAAGGCAGTCATCTACCTTTCTGTCCTGAGGGCTGGTGAAGGCCAAGAAAAATTGTGTGATTACGCAGAAGGAGAAATTTTTGGCTGAAGCCCTTCTTTGTGAAGGACACTCAGAAAACAAGGTTACAGGCAACAGGATTATTCCCCTGGAGAGGGGCTGCACCTTTGATCTGAATATCCTTCAAAGCAGTGGGAAGGGAGAGATAAGGAAGGAGGAAAGGCCTGGAGAACCTAACAGTTCGTACTTGGGGCCATGCAAGTCGGGATCCAGACCAAAGTCCTGTAAACAGAGTGGTGCTTGCAGCTCCTTCCGTAGCTCTGAAATACATCACCATTTGAGCCTGTAACTCAGCCTCCATGCCTCCATGAGAGTCCTTTGATCTCCAGTTCTCACGTTGCCATCAATGGGGTGGCAGGGTACAAAAGTAATGACCTTGGAGCCAGACCCAGGTCTGAAACATGGTAATCCCACATCTTGGCTGTGTGACCTTGGGCAAGCGAATTTCCTCCAGCCTTAATCAATTCCCTCATCTATAAAATGGGACCGATAAAACCTACCTTGTTGTGGAGATTAAGGATATACTGTTTGCGCCCAGTGAATGCCAATTCTCGTTGGTGAACCTTTTAAAAACTCCCCTTTGCTTCTTGAACACCGCCTGAGCGGGCTACGCATGCGTCATGTGCTTTATGTATATCATCGCAAAATTACATAGTGGCCGTCCTGGTGAGCTGGGTGTGTGACCGTCACTTGACAGGTGAGCAGTCTGAAGCTCCGAGAAGTGGGGTCCAAGTTCATTTGGCAAATGGTGGAGGTGGGGCTGGAGCCAGGTCCGATTCTAAGACCCAGGTTCAAAACTTCTGCACAAACTCTGTCTTCTTGATATTTGCTTAGCAATAGAAAGCTCAGCAATACAAAGATCGGAAGAGAAGGCACATCAAACACTTGATGTGGCTGATGGAGTACAACCCGCCACGAATTAATGTGTTTGTTGATAATCATTTAAGGCCTGTCTTTGGCTAGCATATATTTGCACTGTGCTATAGTTTGGGGGTTTTATTTATTCTCCGTGTCTAGGCTTTGCTTCCGCAACAAGACTTACAGGTCAGCCTAGCCAAGCATGAACTGTGAACCCAGGTTAGGGCTTCTCTTAACCACCACTTAGGAGCAGCCCCGGGCAAGGGACCAAACTTCTCTGAGCCTCAGTTTCTTCCTCTGTAGAAGGAGCTAGTGATAACGTTCTGCTGGTGTCAAGAATTATCTCAAAGATGAATGAGCTAATAAAAAAAAATGTGGAAGCTACAGCCAACTGTGAATTGCTAAAGAAATGCGAGACTTGCTCCTATCCCCTCAGGGCTGGACAAAATGTCTGCTCATTTTTCTCCTGTTCCCAGCAGCCTCCAGCTTGGGAATGCACATCCAAGCAGTGCTCCCAGACCTTTGCTGTGGTCCCTTCCCTCATTAACTCGTTCCAGGTGGCAGAGAGACTCAGCCCCCCGCCCCCCTGCTACAGCAGCACTTAGGACGTATCACCGATGCCTGCAACCTTTCTGCAAAGCCCTTCTTGCTGGGGAAGTGCGTTCCATCCAGCTCCGAAAGCTCAGGAGGGAGGACCACAGACCACCTCCGATCTCTTTCCTCTGCTCCTCGAACCACTGCGCCTCCCTGTCCGGCAACCTCTGCTTCAGGGCATCCCCACACGAGACTCTGCATTGCTGCCCAAGACTCAAGGCACCCGTTCTTGCTGCTAGGGGTGCCTGCTGACCTCCCTTCTCATTTCTTCTGGGCCTACCCCAAACTTTACTTTCCTAGGAGGCTTCTCCTGAACATCTTGCTCTCTAAGAGCCTGATCCTTTAACATTTTTCTAGTGGTCTAACTCTCAATATGTATTTATTCCTCAATTGAGATGGCTTCCCATACCAGCACATTCACCCTTCACGAGTGACCAATTCAGTAGCATTTAGTACGTTTGCAAGGCTGTGAAAGCATCACCACTACCTAATTCCAGAATGTTTTCATCACCCTAAAAGGAGACTCCACGCGCATTAGAAGTCACGCTCCATTCCCGCCTGGCAGTCACTAATCTACTTCCTGTCTCCGCCCAAAAACCTAGTCCGGGCATTGCAAATACATTATACAACATGTAGCCTTTTGTGTCTTCTTCTTCCACTTAGCCAGGCCCATGCATGCTGTAGGGAACATTCCTACTTTATTTCTTTTTGTGCCACACTTTGGTTATCCATTCACCTGCTGATGGACATTGGGGCTGTGTCCAGTTTTTGGCTGTTAATGGGTAATGCTGCTAAGACACTCGTATCCACGTTTTTGTGTGGATGT